GAAAAGAATCAGTGCCTTTGAATTGTGTTTTTGGAGAATAGTACTGAATAGCCAGACAATGGTCTACTAAAAAAACAAAACAAAACAAACATATTCTGGAGAAGATGCAGCCAGGGTGTTTGTTGGACAAGGATGGTGAAGCTTATTCTCACCTATTTTGGGCATGTTGGTAGGAGGGGCCAGTCTTTGGAATAAGATATGTTTGGAAAGGAGGAGGGTCAGCCAGAGAGTGGAAGACCCTCCGTGAGATGGATTGACACTGTGACGGTAACAAAGGGGTCAAGTATATCAGAGATGATGCACATGACAGAGGGTAGGGCAGAGTTCTAATCCATTGTTTTTAAGATCACTGTGAGTCATAATTGGCCTGATGGTACCTAACAACAACAACAACAATAACATATTCAAGAACAAGTTTTTGAGTCTATTCCAATATTTATTTTAATCTTTATTTATTGTCTTTTCCAATGACTTTATTTTTGTTTTCTTCATTTATAATACTCTTTATGTCATTCCATAATTCATCAATCATTAATGGTTAATGTGTAAAATATATTTTTGAGATTGCCTCTACCTTCAGATGGAATTATGCAATATTGACAAAAAAAACCAAGAATTCATGAAACACTGTATAACATAGATCATTCTAGCATTGTAAGGAGTGAAACAAATTAGTTACAAAAGAAAAAAAAATATTTACAAGACCACTACTTTAAAAAGCTAAAGAAAGGTTTACTGACAGTCATTTGTGTATGGTTACCAGGGAGAAGGAGAGATGGAGAGAGGCATAAACAATTAATAAATAGATAAGAAACGTTTATTAAGCCAGTGAAGGGAAAGAGAATATGTAATATGTGAGTAATCAGATGCTGTGGATATTATAATTGATATTATAATTAATGCTATAAAAATGTGTAAAGATGACTAAAAAATCACTATGATTTGTAAACTTTCACTTAAATTGCAATTAAAAATAAAATACATACATATATAAAAAAAATCTCTACCTACCATTTTTTTAAAAAAATCCATGTCTTTACAATCTATATGCAGTCATTCAGGAAACAGGGCTTTATAAGGAAGAATGTGGCATCAGGATTGGAGGATGACTCATCAACAACCTATATTATGCAGATACCACCACCTTGCTTGCTGAAATGGAGGAGGACCTGAAGTGCTTGCTGCAGAAAGTCAAGGACTATAGTCTTCAATATGGACTAAGGCTCAATATCAAGAAGAAAAGATTCTCATCACTGGACCAATTGGCAGCACCACGATAGATGGAGAAGAGATTGAGGTTGCTATCAATAACAGCTTTCTTGACTCCACAATCAACACCCTTGGCACCAGCAGTCAGGAAATCAAAAGATTAATTTCATTGGAGTAAATTGGCTGTCAGGGACCTCTCCAGAGTACTTAAAGTGAATGATGTTGGTCTAGAGACTAAGGTGTGCCTGATCCAGGCCATGGTCTTTGTAATTAATTGCTATACATCAGAAAGTTGGACAATGACTAAGGATGCTAGAAGAAGCATCAATGTTTTTGAATCGTAGTGCTGGAGAAGAGTCTTGAACATAACATGGACTGCCAAGGAAGCAATTAAGTCTGTTTTGCAGAGGGGAAACCAAGTTTTCTTTAAAGGCTAGGATTTTGAAATTCTGTCTCACATACTTTGGGCACGTGGCCAGGAGAGAACAGTCCTTTTAGAAGAAGGACTTCATGCTTGAAGGTTGGAGAGGCAGCACAGGAGAGGAAGACCCCAGATTGATACAGTGACTGGGGCAATGGAAACAGGTGTGTCAAAATTAGTGAGACTGGCTCAGGATAGGTTCAGGCTTCATAGCTACTGTACATAGTTCATACTGTTCATAGTTGTACTGTCCCAGGCAACTTAATGGCACATAACAACAACAACAACAACAACGACAAGTATTTTAAAAAACAAAACATACTGAGTCCCCTAATTACAATAAGAGTAAAGTGATCCTAAAATGGTAGGAGCCAAGTGAAGGCATTTAATTGCAAAATCAAGGCTATCATGGTTATTAATGGACAACTGAGTTAATGAAATAATTGTACTAGTCTGATTAACAGAGACCTTTAGCATGACTAGTTGATTATGTTGTCCTTAAACAGATGGGAAATTTACTAAATTCTTATTTGTTATATGTAAGTAGAAGATTCTTGGGTCAAGGAAACCTAAATATGCCTGGATTATCAGAACAGAAAAGCAGATAGTCTACTCTAGAAAAAGAATGTCAAATAATAGAGATTATATCTTAAGTTATAATAATGAATTCTTTCCAACACAGCTTAATTGAATGAAAATAATTTTTATAATAGAAACAATATTGTGAGAATATTTCAAAATAGTTTTCATTGTCCATTTCCAACTAATAAAGTTTTCCACACAGAAGGCTTTACAACATCACTCTATCTTTTTTTGAGGAGGGGGAATAACAACAAAAAATAGTACATTCTAGCATTGTGATAAGGGATTACAATTTTTTAAAAAGCCTCTTATATGTGTTATTTTTTAGTGTTCCTGGGAGGGTCATTCCCAAGAATACTAATTCTGCCTAAAAGAACAGTGTACATATCATTATGAATATACAGAATTTAAGCAAAAATGAATTAAAGCCTTGAGACTACCAGATTGAGATACACAATGAACTGCTGATAGGAAACTGCGCTGCAATACTGAAGGCACACAGTTCGAACCTACCAGCTGCTGTAAGAGACAAGGATGGGCAATCTCCTCTTGTGCAATTTATTGCCTCAGAAAACCTGCTGGAGAGTCAGCGATGGTTTGATTCCGACTCAATGGTATTCAACAGCAACAACAACATAGTTTATAAAACATTTTAGTCTATATAAAGCTAAAATAAAAGAACCTTATTTGGCATTATATAAAAACTCAATTTGATATGATAAGACTATGCAATTAGAAAATAAATAGTCAAAACAAAACAGAATATACAAATCAAAACTCCAAATAGATGTGTGAAATATGATTGACAAAATGTTGGATTGCATTTGAATGCTTGTCATCATTAAACTCTTTGTTGCTGTTATGTATCATTGCGTTGGAACAGACTCATAGCTTCAGTGGGTTTTTGTGGTGCAGTTTGTAGACTCCCACCATGTGCCTTTGAGATTGCAGTACACCTCCCTACCACCAGGCCAGCAGGCTCCCTTTAGAGACCACATCTCTTTAGAGATCATAACTCATTATTTACTCATCCAGTATTTCTTCTGAGCCACACATATCCCATTTTCTTTTTATCACTTTATATACTAGCCCTTACAATTGCATCCACTTTTCCAAAATCAAAAGAAAGTTGAGCATTTTGGGAAGATCCTTCATGTCCTAGTGAAGTACCATCCAAGTAAAAGCTGTTCACCTTTTGTCACTGTCAATGCTTCTTTTCCTAAGAAGGAGTGGCCTTAAAGCAACTTTAATTTTCCTAGAGGTTGACTCCAGGTAATTCCATTAAAAAAAAAAAAAAAAAAGACAAGACATTCATGATTTCTGCCTAAAAATCTGATCCAAGAAAGAAAGCTTTTACTAACCTAAAGTTTAATTAGGGAGCTCTCTGGTAGCCTAGTGGCAAGAAGCTGCACTGCAATTGTGAACACTGGTTCTGACTCTATAATACACAACAACAAAGTTTGATTATTTCAATCTATCACAAATTCAAACTCAAACTCACTGTTCTCAACTTGTATGCAATTCATAATGACCCTTTTGCCATGCTTCCAAAGCTATAGATTTAAAGAAGAATATTTCTTCCTTAAGTTCACTTGCACTCTTTGGATTAATAGTACAATGTGTTACAGGTTATGCCACTAGAGCTTTTGTTGTTGTTAGGTGCCGTCTAGTCGAGTATGACTCATAGTGAGCCTATGAACAAAAGATCTGAACGCTTTTCTATCCTGTGCCATCTTCACATTTCCTGACAACACAAGAGCCCGTTTCAGTAGTCACTATGTCAATTCACTTGGTTGAGGGTCTTCCTCTTCTTCACTGACCCTTCCCAGCATAATGTCCTTCTCCAAGGAACAGCACCTATAGCAACATGCCCAAAGTATGTGAGGTGAAGCCTCATCATGCTTGCCTCCAAAAAGCACTCCAGCTGCACCCTCTCCAAGATATATTTGCTTGTTTTCTTGGCCGTCTCTGGGACCTTCAGTGCTCTTCTCCAACAGCACAGCTTAAAGACATCAATTCTTTTCTTGTCATCTTTATGTACTACTGTCCAGTTCTCAGATGTATAGCAAGCCTAAAGCAGATATACCTTAATCCTCAAACTGACATCGTTACTTCTCAATAGTTTGGAGAGGTTCCTAACGGCAGATTTTCCCAGTGAAATACGTCTCCTTATTTCCTGACTGCTTGTACTAAGGGTTTTAATTGTGGATCCAAGCAAGATGAAGCTGTTGACAGTTTCAGTCTCCTCTCCATTCATCATGACGCTGCCTATTGGCCCAGCAATAAGAATGTGATTAGGTATTATTGTCATGACAGGAGTCCAGAATGAAGGCTGCATAGTAGAGTGAACCTGGGGAAGGGATTGTAAAACAATGAAAGGGTTTTTCTTTTAGTTTTCAAGGAGAAGGATGTACTGGGGGAACAGGCGGGAATGAATTAAAATCCAAAGTCTCTGTAAATTTTCATTAAAATTAATAATGATAATAATTTTTTTAAAAATAAAATCTTTGGTTTCTTGACATTAAGCTAGTCAGGTGTAAACTCTTTGTGCCACACAAGAACTTCAACAGAACTCTAAACATCAGCTTGATAGTATTATTATTATTTCATTTTTACTTATGTATATTTATGTATGTGTTTGTGACTGTTTTCACTTACTGTTTTATAAAAGAACATATTTGGTTAAGGACTATGAGCCCCTGCATTTATAATTGTAGACTTTTGTTTCCTTGTTTCATTTTGAAGTTAAGTCAGTAACAATGAAAGGAAAAGGATTGCCTGAGTCTCTTCAGCAAATAGAATCTCCCAAGAACATTGCTCTCCCACTCGTCATGGTCTTTCTGATGGCGTCCTTGACTTCCTTGTTCCTTAGGCAGTAGATGATAGGGTTAAGCATGGGAGTAAATACTGCATATATGGCTGAAATCAATTTATTGGAATTGAATGAGGCAATGGCTCTGGGTCTGACATACATGAAGATTACAGCTGTGTAGAAGATAACCACCACGGTTAGGTGAGACGCACAGGTGGAGAAAGCCTTCCGCTGACCAGTGGCTGAGGGTATATGCAGGATGGTAGAGACAATGAAAGCGTAGGAGAGTACAGTGGCTGAGAGAGGAAAGACAAGGATGACGATGGCTAGTGCAAAGTCTACCATTTCAGCCATGGAAAAGTCCATGCAGGCCAGTTTGAGGATGGGAGACACATCACAGAAAAAATGGTTCAAGATATTGTTGCCACAAAACACAACTTGGGATATGAAGTATACCTTGGCCATGGAGATTGTGAAGCCACTTATCCAGGAACTGATGGTCAGCTGAACACAGAACCCTGTGGTCATCATAACTGGATAACGAAGAGGGCAGCATATGGCCACATACCGGTCATAGGCCATGGAAGCCAAAAGCACACATTCAGTACAGGCAAACGAGATGAAGAAATAAAGCTGAGTCATGCAGCCCAGGAAGGAGATGGTATTAGGGTGAAATAAAAATCCAGCCAGCATCTTGGGGACTGTGACAGTGATGTAACAGGCCTCCAGAAAGGACATGGTACTTAGGAAATAGTACATGGGCTTGTGCAGGGACCCAGTGACCCACACAGCGAGGATGATGACCAAATTCTCCAACAGCACAAATATGTAGGTGATGAGGAAGATGAAGAAGAGCAAGTCCTGCAGCCAAGGGGCAGTAGGGAAGCCCACCAGAACGAACTCATTAATATTGGAAATGTTTTGTTTCCACATGATAAAAGACAATTTAATGATAATAAAGGGGAATTATAGAGCAAGTGGAAAGTGTCCTTCAGGCTCCAGGGACTTTGTCATTAAACTTAATTCTAATGTCAGAGCTGGTGCAAAAACATGATTTAGGAGTCATGAGGTGACACAAGATCCTCTCCAGAATATCGGAGAAGCCAGCTTATATAACAGACACAAAGCTAAAGATCCCAAATCAGAATGTCTGATTAAAAGATTCAATCCTTTGGATCTGAACCAGGATTGGTCTTCAGGTAATAATAACAGTAACTATTTTACTTGTCAGCAGAGTTCCCGATTTCAGAGGCGTCTATACAGAATGAGACCATGAACGCTGGAATCAGTGTCACAGAAGACTTCAAGCAGCAGGACTGAGAAGCAGGAAAATCTAAAACCTGGGGAAAGACAAGAATAATATTGATTTCTTTTACAGGAACTCTTGTGGTTTAGACCTCTCCACACAAGGGTTGTGTTTCTGAAAATTTGGATTTACCAGCTGTTCCAAGGGAGAAAGGGGCAGTTTCTTCTCATGTCAACAGCAATGAGTTGGGGTTGTTGGGTTTTTTGGTTTGGTTTGGTTTTTATTCCCCACCCCCTTCTTTTAAGGAAAAAAGGAAATGGGGTGGGGGTGGTGGGGTAGTGGATTTTCCTGGCTAGGTGTAGCACTTACTCTAACCTACTCCTTAGTTTTTTGGAAGTCTTTTGAAGATCGCAGAAATTGAGGTTAATAACTTTTTCTTTTTTTTTCTGTTTGCTTTAGGGACACCAATTTATGTATGTTGTTGCTGTTGTTGTTAGGTGCCATCAAGTTGACTGGAACTCATAGCGCCTAGACAGTACCTCCGATTGTTGCCCTGTCCTGGATCTTGCTCACTATCTCTGTCACGCTCAAGCACATCCTCCCTTTTGCTGGCCTTCTTTTCCCAGCTTGTCTTCTGAGGTCGTCTTCTGGCACTACATTCAACAATGTTTTACCATTACCCATAGGGTTTTCAGAGACCCCTTCTTTCAGAAGTGAATGGCCAGTCCTGCGTCATAGTCTGTTTTAGTCTGGAAACTCCAGAGTAACCCTGCTGATATTTGAAATATCACCTGCATAGCTTCAAGCAACACAACAAAACACAAACCCCAACAGTACTGAAACTGATGGACTATCTGTAGAATCAAGAAATATCTACCCTCCACTAGCAACACATTTTTACATTTTATATGGTAATGACACATATAGTTACTTTTAATTATAAATTAATTTGTGTGATTCATTCTACATGCCCTTTTAAAAGACTAGATGTATGTTGGGAGTGTTTTTTTTTTTTACTATGGGAATAAGAATTTGAATAATTCTTGAATTTGACTAATTTGTCCAGTTTGTGGCCTTTGAAATTCATTCCTTAGATAGTTCTTGAGGATATTGTGGATCATTGGACTTCCTTGCTTGGTGTGATAGGGAGGGAATCAAGAGACTCAACAACTGAGAACGGTCCTAGGCTTCCCAGACACAATATGATCTGATTAGAGAATTGAAATTTAAAAATACTTTCTCCAAAAATTGTGGTCAAAAAAAGAAAAACACAATATATGAATAATTACATGCAAATCAACAAAAATACGGAGATGGGGCAATAAAAGCAAAATTTTACTTTTTTGTGATAACAATAAAAAGCAAAAAAAACCCCAAAACCCCTTCTATAACCTTTAAAACAATAGTGTAAAGAGAAATGTACAATTCAAGAAGACCAGTGGAGAGCCTGGAACCAGAAAGGCACTTCGAACCACTGAAAAGAAACTATAACATGGAATTCATGCATGTTTAGTAATTATTTCTAATTTGCACATACTTTGTGACCTAAACCCCAGATTTTCAATTAAATGATTGGTGATATGACAGAAATCAATAATAGGTAATAGAGAATTCACATTTGATTCCTTTCTCTACGAAAAAGAATGATCCTTTAATTGATTTAAACAATTATTTCAAGGTAGCTATTTCCCGCCCCCCCCCAAGGGATCTGAGGCAGTCTTTAAGCACAGAACACAAATCTGAACACCTATAGAACAAGATTCTAAGGGAAATTATATATGTTAAAACATACCTGCTCATGTTTGATCTTTCAGGAATCATGGAAAGAGAATAATAATGAGATTCAAGATGGACAAAGAGCGCTTCAATGTTCAAAAATTGTAGTAAAGCATTGAAGAAACTGCAGACCAGTGGGACACAGAATTGAAAAGTCTGCAATCTAACCTAGTGTTATCTCTTAGAACCTTTTTATAAAAGCTTAGATTTTTTTTAAACTTCAGTTCTTTCATGAATGCACAAAATGCTATATTTTATAATAAAAGATGCAACAGATCGTGAATGATTGCTTTACTGGTGGCTGTAATCAAGACTGAGTAAATATTTATTTGGCCTGGATGATGAAAATCCAGATCCCCTACTCATTTTGAAGAGTAAACAAGTCATTATATTTATACTTTGAGAAACATAAACAGTCCAAAATGTTAGAGCTACAAAAGTGAAACATATTCAAATAGCCTAGTGGAGGAAGAACAAACACTGCTTGTTGAGGTAACCTTCAAAAAATAAATGGCGATTTATTACACCTACATTCATAGCAGCATTATTCACATTAGAAAGAAAATGGAAGCAGGCCAAATGCCCATCAACAAATTAATGGATTGAGAGTTTGTGGTACATTCATACAATGGACTACTATCTAGCACTAAGGAGTAACGATTTAGTAACAAACATGGGAGACTATATAGAGCATTATGTTGAGTGAACTAATTCAGTCACACAGGGACAAATACTGTATAAGACTATTATTATCAAAATAGAAGGATAAGGCAGCGCTGGTGGCCTAGTGGCAAGAAGCTGCATTGCAATCCCAAAGGCACACAGTTTGAATCCACCAGACGCTCTGCTGGAGAAGGAGAGGCAATCTCCTATGCCAGTCGGATCTGATTCAACAGTACACAAGAAGGGGGGAAAACAAAAGAATTCGGAATAAAAAAAAACAAACAGAAGGATAACTATTAAGATGTCTATAAATGTCCAAAAGGGGAAAGGGACAGGGAGAAGGAGGTGGAAAAGGCGGGAAGGTGGAAATCACTAGGATAGCAGAGTTTAGTGGAAAGATGAGTTTAGGTGAAAGAATGAGAAGATCCAATGCGGACTTGAAAAGACAGGGTAATAATAAACATATATCAATAGTAATTACTTTTTATAAAACACAATGTATGGTTATATGAATCAATGTAAATGATTATGTGAAGCACAATGTTCATAGAAAGCAGGGGGGCGGGGGAAATCAATGGGACTGTCTCCTTATCTGCACTTTGCCAGCTATACCCTACCAAAACAAAGTCCACAGAAGAAAGAAAGAAAGAATGATATTACTATGAATTTTTGTTGGCAGAGCTCAACTAGGTGGCCAGCTATCCACCACTTTGTTTTTAATAAATTAATTTTTAAATTCTTCTAAAGATTGCCATTTCCCATCTCCAATGTTCCACCCAACTACACTCCCAAGTCCCAGCAGACTTATTTTACTAAGACAAATGAGCCTATCAGATAGGAATTTATTAAGCTTCCCATTATCAGATTATTATTGTCCCTCTCAGATACGTCTGTTCATTACTTTTCTGCTTATCTAAGTTCAGTTTTTTATCTGCTCTGGATATTATTTCTCATTAAATCACCTCCCCAATATCTTATCTCTTTTTGCATATGAAATTAATTCTTTCACAAATCCTTATTGAGAAATTACTATGTAATAGCTGTTATTCCAGAAACTTGAAATATATCCGTGAATAAAACAGATAAAAACAAGCAAAAGGCCCTTAACTTGTTACACCTAGTAGAAGGAGATAAGAAAGAAATAATAAATACACTAATGATATAAATATAGAAATTCATAATTCTATGAGGAAAATTTGGACATGTTGCTAGGAAAGGCTATTACTTGGTAAGGAACATCATGCTTGCAAAGGTGGAGGGTCAGCAAAAGAAAGGAAGACTCAATGAGATGGAATGTCACAATGACTGTAGCAGTGGGCTCGAGTGTGTCAGAGATGAATGAGGATGGCATAGTATAAGACAGGGTTCAGATCTATTGTTCATAAGGTTGCTATGAGTCTTTCTCGACTCGACAGCACCTAACAATAACAATATGAGGAAAATAATACGGCATGGCAGGAAAATCAGGGGTTTAGGGCTTGGTAGTAAGTTAAAATTTTAAATAAGATGGCCAGGTTAGAATTAATTATGAAGGGTAGTAAAGAATGCTATTTATGGCTATCTGCTAAAATAGCTTTTCAGACAAGGAGAGTCTCTTGTTTAAACACTCAAAATGAGGGACAGCAAGGAGTGAAGTATGGCTAGAGTAGCAAATGAAAGAAATTTAAATCAGAGAAGTAAAGGGATGTGATGATGATGGGAGACAATTATTATGACCCTTGTAGGTAGCTGTAGCCGGAATAGCTTTCATGGTGAGTGGATTAGATCCTACGTGAAAGAATTTAAATAGATGAGTGCTCTGATCTTATCGACATTTTAATAATTCTCTGGCAGGTTCAACTTATCTGAATCATTTCATGCAACTCTTAAAGATTACCAGTTATCTCTGTCTCTAAAAAGTCATTTTCATATTTATTGATCAAACTTTCTGTCCAGTTAAGACCACTGTAACATGAATTAAATGCTCTTTTTCTTTTCACTACTTGTTTTCTATTGCTACTACTTCTCAGGTAATGTCTATTTTTCTCATCTTAAAAATATTCATTTTATCTGCTCCCTTATCCTTCTTCACATACCTTTAACCTTAAAATTACCTAGATGATTTCAGGCACTGAAAAACATCAAGACAGAGAGACACAGAAGCTATCTAGTAAAGAAAACTGTCAAGGTTTAGACACAGAATCATTCTTGGATGATTACCAAAGATAAGAAGGGAGGAAGATGACAGTAAAAATCAATAAGTAGATAATAATTTCTTATTAAGAATATAAGAGAATGATAAGACATTGTAAATATTGTAATTAATATTATTAAAAAAATAAGTGAATGATTAAATACCAGTGTGCTTTGTAAACTTTCACTCATATAAAATTTTTTTTTTAAATCTGCACTTCCTTTTCAGGGAGTTCTGGTGGCCTAGTAGTAAGGAGTTGCCCTAGCATTCCAAAGGTATGTTGTTCAAATCCACCAGCTGCTCCACAGGAGGAAGATGGGCAGTCTCCTCCTGTGTGATTAACTACCTCTGAAAACCCACTGGAGGGTCAGCTATGGATCGGTTCAAAATCCATGGGACACAATAACAATTTCTTTTCTAAAAAAAATTAAAGGAAAAAAACCTCACAAGAGAACAGATCATTTGAAAAGAATTTTGTAAGTAAAATAATAAACTGCTGCAAAGAAGGAGAACTGAAAGTAGAGATTAATTACAACTCAAGACTATCAATCTCTAAATCTATATAGTTTTTTTCCTATGCACAGACTCACTGCTCTTGAATATTGCTTCCCATTTGCTTTTGCCCCTGGTATATTCCCACTCCAATTCTAAATATAGTTAATTCTGAGTCTGGTTTTCCCTGCTTCATTATCACCCTGCTCGCTCTTCTAAATCCTTGTCTTGACCCTAACTTATCCAAACCAATTTTCCTTTTTATCAAATATTTTGTATCTAAGCTCCTCACTCATTAATTTAGCTTTTACTCATCTGAGCTTTCATGATCAGCCTAAAATTCTAAAACCTTATTCATTTCAGTTGGTTTTGGGGGCTTTTTGTTTGTTTGTTTTTTGGTTTTATTTTGGTTGTTTTTTTTTTCTGTGAGCAATTTGTTTTCCAACTCTGTATAACATTGGAGGTCTCCTAATATTTGAACTCTGGTGACATGGTCCGTAGCAGTTGTACTGCCAACCCACAGGCAGCTCTTTCCTAGCAGCTGCTTCACAGGAGAAAGATATGCCATTTCCCCTTCTTCATTGACAGTCCCCAGAAAATTCGGAGGAGGGTCACCCATGAGTTGATTACTACCTGAAAGCAACGACTTTGAGGATTTTTTTTGTTTGTTTGAGTTTGTTGGATTTTTAAAAAAAGATTTGAGCTATTCCTGACTTCATTACTAGTTGGATCTAGTTATATATGCCTAAATTCTAAGTCTTCACAATGCTCCTCCCTCATCATACTTGACCTCTGATCCAGTCACTGAGCTGATGTATTCCACTCAATCGTGGCTTATTTCTCTAATCTAGAGATATTTTTAAGAAAAACGCATTGACTCAGTCAGAGGAGAAAGCTGATTAGTGGAGCCAAAAGGAAAGAGTCTATGGAGATTCTTAGTCATTAAATTATCTTGAGATGAGTGAGAAAATAAGTTATCTTAAGAAGAAAGAGGGATGTAAATGCAAATTTAAGGGTTAGTTAAGAGAAACTGAGGGGATTTATTTAATTTGGATGAAAGAGAGAAATAATCAAAAGAAAGATCAAAAGTCCAAAGCTCAGCAAAAGACAGATGGAGGAGCATGCCCTTCAAGAGCTTGGTACATATAACAGATGGCAATAGGGCAAATGTCCACTCATGAAAATGTTTTCAATACTAAATAGTATTCCTGAATATGTACTGAGTTATATTACCAAACTATAAGAATTAGTATGTGCTTTCTTTTCTAACTCTGTCCAGGTGAAATGGTCACTGATAAATATGAACTCTTTACAAAGCATAAAGTGAGTCTCTCACAAAGTGACCCCTACTATTCTATGTATAGTAATTTTCTGTCTTAGTCACATACTCAACCCAAACTTATGATATATTGAAGAACTTGAATTTCTTGAGTGCAATATGCCCTTCAACGGTCTGTCCAGATGTGTGTACCTTGTTTTGCGTCTAAAATATCTCCAGCTCTGTTGTTGTTGTTGTTACCTACCATTGAGTTGCCAGTGACTTATAATGTCACTAGCCTGACAAATGCCTACTTAGAGTTCATCCTCTGCATCACACCATCTCTATCCACTCCTGACAATGCCCACATCATGTTCATTTTTTTCAGCTAGTAGTGCTGCTTCCAGTGTTAAAGCATTTTGAACCTCCCAGCATGGTAAGATAGCATGCATTGATTTACAAATGTTTACTCACCTACCACCATTAATAGAGTTTTGAAAATGCAAAATTTATTATATTTTCAACTCATTTTTTAAATTTCTTAAATTTAGCTTCGTTCTAAGTGGGGAAAAATAATGTATACTGCATTGAAACAGATGAGGGAAAGAACTGTTAGGAGAAATATATGATTAGGTATTATTGTCAATGACAAGAGTCCAGAATGAAAAGCTGTATAGTGGAGTGAACTGGAGCGGGTATCGTATAAGAATGAAAGATTATTTTTTTTTTTTTACTTTTCAAAGAGAAAAGTGAACTGGGGAGTGGTGGGCAGGGGGAAAAGTGTACAACAATGAATCAATGAAAATCCAAAGTCTCTGTAAACGTTCATTAAAATAAAGGGGAAAAAAGTAAAAAAAAAAAAAGAATTAGCTTAGTTTTTGGTGGGTGCTGGTACTTGATAAGTACAGAATCTGTGATGTTTAACTAAGACCAGACAGATCACTATAGTGTAATCTGTTTATTCTTTTTTAGAAACTAAGTCGAGTAGCTCATCTTAATTGAATCTGGTCTGAAAGTCTTGGTTCAGTTGTCCTGTCATCATATCTTTATTGAAAATAAATGTCATAAAGAAGGGAAAATAAAACCAAAGAGAAAATTTAGAATAGCACAACCCAAATCCTAGAAAATGCTCTCTCTATGAAACTCAGGAACTTAGGGCTTTGTACTTGTAGTTGCCTGGAAGTCTCCGACTTCTAGATGGATGATAGAAAAATTAAAAAGTATTTTTCTGTAGCTTCAAAGAAAATGCAGCCTTACCTTATTCAAAAGTACTGAGATTTTTATACTCAAATATCATGGGTTACTTCTGAGCCTGTTGAATGCTTCTGTATGTTGAGAGTTGGAGATTGGCTGAGGCCAGGAACTAGCTTTGTATGTTAACTCCTCTCATACTCTTCACCCAGACAGAATCCAGAGTTGACTAATTTGGTTTGCATTGAGCTTACTGTTTAGAAGAGATGACTGTTCTTTAAAAGCCACATCCTTGGGGATCTGATCCAAAAGTGCTATAGGAATTTCAAGAGCAACAAAGACACAGAAGTTAGAGACATTTCCCTAGAGTTATTGTCACTCTAATTCTCACAATTAGAGTGATTTAGAGAGAATTAGAGAAAGAGAAACATGAAAGAACAACAACTTCATGACAAGGTCCACACTAATCAAAATAGGATCTAGTCTCCATTTTCCTTCTTCTCTTTGGATTTATAGAAAATACCTATTATACATTGTCCATTTCTTAAGGCATTAATATTACCAAGAGAGGTGCAAGAAAATGTATCAAACACACAAAAGGTTATTTAACAGAGTTAATAATGAATATATTCACTAGCATATCCTACAAGACTTTCACACACAGTACTTGATATAGAATAGGAAAACAAAAAAAATGTGGTTTGTATGAATAAATGAGTGAATATGTTGAGCAAGACAAGAACTGGCATGCTGAAATTATTAAGTACTCCAAAGTAACTATCATTATATATTTCTCATTAAGGATCAGTAAGAGATAATGTAGGTAGGGAGAAGGAAGACAGGAGATTCTGAGGGTCTATGAAGGTTAGAATTCAAAAATAATAACTATAATGAAAGTTCCTATTTAATTAAGCTGAAAAAATTATTACACAATGGAATAACATTGTAAGATTTATGCATAATTAAGATATGTCCATGCTTGTGGAATAATGTTGAGAAGGGTTTGGGTCAAAATTGAGAAGCACACTTAAATGCTCAAAACCTGTAATCAGAGTGGCTCAAGTTTTTATTTCTTTGCTATTTTAGTCTCAGTTTTAGCAATTTTGTAAAATTATCTTTGGTGTACTACATTTCTTAATCCATTCATAAGATGCAATCATAAAATTCATATGATATCTAATAATGTCATTTACCATAGAAAATTTTGTATTTGCTTTCCAACTAATTTGTCTGTAGCTGTAGGACACATATTAATGTATTCAAGGTTTCATTTCACATTTATATTGATGTATCAATATCCCTTTAGTTTGCTAATAATAGTCATGATATAACTTTAGAAGCAATAAAAATTAAAGTTCAAAATAAAATGTCCCTCTTTACAACATGCCCAAAGTATGTCAGATGGAAATTCAGACTCCTTGTCTCCAAGGAGCAGCCTGGTTTCACCCTCTCTAGGATGAACCTGTTTGTTCTCCTGGTAGTCCATGAAATCTTCACTACTCTTCTCCAACACCACAGCTTAATAGCATCAATTTGCTATTACTAAAAGAACAAACTAAATGAGTAGGATTGAGACAGGGGCTGCGATAATGGGCATAAACAGAGCACAGATTATGAGGATGGTGCAGATCAGGCAGTGTTTTGTTCTGTTGTAAACATAGTTTCTATGATTCAGAATCAGTTTTATTACACTTAACAATAAATGGACTACCATGATTACTGTAGCAATGGGCTCAAATGTGTCAGTAGGATGGCACAGGATAGGGCAAATTTCAGATTGTTTTTCATAGGATTTGCTATGAGTCACACAGTTGACTCTACAGCACATAAGAAAATTAACAATGATAATTATTATATAATTTCAAAGTAATTATTAAGAATCTACTTTATATATTATAATAGTTTATGATTAAAGAAATGCATATACCAAGTTTCCAGTTTCTACTTTTTATTGTTTCCATGCTATGAAATTCTACAAGAAATAAAATTCTTGCCTGCGGAACAGGACTAATATACATGTCCGTGATAAATTCAATGGAAATTAAACATTGTTAAGAGCTCTATCTCCTTCTCGAAGCAGTAGAACTTAGCTGAGCAAGCACTGACCACCTCCTAAAGTCTTTCTAATTGCTCTCTTGACTTCTTCATTCCTTAAACAGTAGATGAATGGATTTAGCATGGGTGTGAGGACTGCATACACAGCTGAGATCAGTTTGTTGGAATTGAATGATGCAATAGCCCTGGGACGGACATACATGAAAATCATGGCTGTATAATATATTATTACTACAGTGAGGTGGGAGGCACAGGTAGAGAAGGCTTTCTTTCTTCCTTGGGTAGAAGGTATTCGCAGGATGGTGGAAACAATGTAGACATAGGAGAGGACAGTGGTGATGAGAGGAAGCACAAGAATGACAATAGCCAAGGCAAAGTCCACAAGCTCAGCTGTGGACATGTCTTTGCAAGCCAATTTGAGGATTGGAGAGATGTCACAGAAAAAGTGGTTCATGACATTGGAGCCACAAAAGGCAACATGTGAAATGAAATAGACCTTGATCACAGAGACTGTGAAGCCACTCATATAAGATAAAGCCACCAGCTGCACACAGTAACCTGTGGTCATGATAACTGGGTATCGGAGAGGGTGGCAGATGGCCACATAGCGATCATAGGCCATGGCTGCCAAAAGAACACATTCCGTACAGGCCAGAGAGATGAAGAAGTAGAGCTGGGTCATGCAGCCTGTGAAGGAGATGTGCCGTCTCTGCAGGAGAAATCCATCTAGCATTTTGGGGACTGTCACGGAGACATACCAGACCTCCAGGAAGGACATACTGCTCAGGAAATAGTACATGGGTTTATGGAGGGAACCAGTGACCCAAACAGTGAGCATGATGGTAAGATTCTCAATTATCACCAGCAGGTAGACCATGAGGAAGAGGAAGAAGAGCAGGATCTGCAGCCAGGGGGCGGTAGGGAAGCCCACCAGGATGAATTCACTAACCAGAGTGATGTTTCTCTCCAGCATGACTAAACACACTGAGCGATATCAGTGTCTCCAACGACAGTGTAGCAAATAATAAAAATGACTATGACATCAGTCAGAAGACAGAATTAGGTTAGAATTTCAATCTTTGCTGTCAATTAATCTCATAAAATAATTTCTGGTAATAAGAACTACTTGGCACTTATGAAGTATACTTTTTTCCATTAATTTTTATCTTTTATGAAAATCTCCATCAATTAAGATGCACCTATATCTCTTCCTCTTTTTCACCTGATGACAGTGATTGGAACGTCATTATCCATATAAATCGCAGCTCTGCTGTCAGTGAACATAAATCCATTGTCTCTCTCTTGTGTTGGTTTTAATTCTCTGTTTAATTAGGAATTCTCTGTACAAAGATGTATCTATGCCTGAAGAGATTCACATCAGCTCCAAGAGTATAACATCAAGTCACACAAAGTTCCAAAATATTCCTACATTGGCAATACTTTGACTGTAGTGTTTTGAACCAGCAGTTTCTTCAAACTAGAATCTAAAAAGTTGGAAAAGAATAAGAGTTATTAGAAACTATGCAATGACTCCTCCACTGCTTTAGATAAAATGTGAATATTTTATTTATCACACATAAGAGATATATCATACTTTGATCTCTGCCTATTTTCAATTGTAATTGATGTTCTAGATATATTCAACCAAGTTTTGCTCCTCATGTATGCTCCAAATTCTCTCACCCATGTTTTTGCATATACTCCTCCTTCTTCCTGTGCTATCCCAAATAGTTTCCATTCATTCTTTTTAGCCTCCACTTAGAAGGCATCTCACTAAAAGTAAATCAAGTGTCTGGTCAGTGCACTGCTTTTTGTACCTTTGTAGGACACAGTTCACTGTTACCTTCCATCACTTTGAGTAAAAAGATAGGCAATACACAATAAGGAGTTGATTAGGCATTTTAATTAATTATATTAATACATTATAATTGATGCTACCAAAATTGCCTGTGAGTTATTGGATGAAAATGCAATATGATTTGAAAACTTTCAGTCAAATAAAATTCAAAAAAACAAGCCAAAGTAAAACTCCTATTAGACCCTTTATCATTCTAAGTTCAATGCCTTGGACTCAAAACTCAAACTCCTTGCCAACAAGTCAGAATGGACTTGAGGGCACAAAACAACAACATATTGCTGCTATGTTATGAACACTAAATGTGATAATGCACTTAACACACTTTGTCTAGAACTTGGTCCATAGTTATTCTTTATAAGCTTTATAAATTTTACTGTTGTTACTTGCCAACAAGGTTAGCACTTATAGCTGCCCTATGCACAGCAGACAGAAGTCTTGCCCTGTCCTACCCGTGACATTCTCAGGATCTCTCCAACCATATTCAGGCCCATATTTTCAGTCACTGTGTCTATATAGCTGTTTGTGAACCTACCTCTCTGTTGCTGACCTTCTACTTTTCCCAGCATGATGTCTTTTTCCAAGGACTGGTCCCTCTGTAAACATCCCCAGAGTTTACAAGATCAAGTTTCACTGTCCTTGCCTCTAAATAACATCCTGGTTATACTTCCTCCAAGATGTTTTTTTGGGTTTTTTGTAGTCCATGGGAACAGTATTCTTTAGTCAGTGATTCTTCAATTCTTCTATAGTCTCCCGTGTTCATTGTTTAACTTTCACATAACTACTTGTGAAATAAACTATAGTTTTTAGTAAATTACACTACACAATATTCAAACATACTTACTTAATAATATGTGCCCACAATTTTTTGTTCATATATAGTTTCTGTTATGGACCATCAAGTTGGAGCTGATTAATAGCTGATCTTTCAAGTGGGTTTTCAGAGGCAGTAAATCACACTGAAGGAGATTTCCTATCTTTCTTCCCACAGAATAGTGGATTCAAACCACATACCTTGGGTGTGGCAGTACAACTTCTTGCCACTAAGACATCAGAATTCCTTTTTCATTTATATATGCTGTCATACACACACACACACACACACACACACACACACACACACACACACACACAAGCATTCATTCTCCCTCTATTATTCACTTTTCTTGCTATTTCTGGGGACTGAAGTAAACTAAATCCCCCGAATAACAGGATCATAGTGTCATTGAAGATCTCTGGGTTACAGATCCTTTATGCCTTCTTTGTTATCTTCTCTCTATTATATTGCTTTCAAATACCCCAATTGCTTATATTCAAATTGCTTTCATATACTTATTTGTTGTTGTTAATTTTAAGTGCCATGGAGCTGAAATTGACTCATAGCTCACTCTTCAGGATTTTCAGAGGCAGTAAATTGCAAGGGAGGAGATTGCCCCCTTTTGTGGAGCAAAAAAGTACATTCTTTTTTCTACTGCTGATGGATGGAACTGTGTTCCTTTGGGTTGGTGGTGCAACTTCACAAACATATTTTCAGCAAGTTCTGCTTTGGGGTTGGCAGCACACCTCCACAAATGTAGCTTCAGTAAGCTCTGCTTTAAAAGTGTAGAAGGGAACAGAATCTTTTCCTTTTTTTCAGAACCAAGAACACTGAACACTGACTCTCTATAATACCCTAAAAGTAATTTTCATTATGCTTATAAGTTATTTTTTTCTTTTTAAGTTCTGTTTTTTTCATGTTCACAAGGGATAATACAGACAACTGCCAGACTTCTGGAACAAGATACTTCTCTTTTGTGTCTTAATCCAACACCTGAAGGATACAATGCCTACCCAAATTCTCCCAACTTTAAGTAAAAATGTACGAGGTACTGACTCTTCACTTCCCAAGCATTCCACACAAAACCTTTCCTGACTTAGAATACCATTTCCAAGCAACACTCATTTTCCCATTCCTTCATCTTCCTCAGAGTTTTCCTTAGAGTCCAAGCTATTTCTCCTGGTATATCCAGCCACTCACCATGATCCATTTGTCTTCTTTTTGAGAATGGAGAATTCTTAAGACCTTCATACTAATCATAGGAAAACAGACTAGTCTACACATTATTGTACAGTCTGTCAATCTGCATGCTTAGACTACACTGTGTGTATTTGCAGCACTCAGGCAAGAAGACAGAAACAGTGGAAGAAGAATATATTTTGTGCTTGCCTATCTTTTGCCTCTGTCTTCTCCCCAGGAGACTCACTTACACTCAGTCTGGCCGAACTCTAGGGAACATCTATGTGTGTTTCCAAGACTATGTCCAGGGGACATGGACAGGAAAACAAGATGTTCATTCACCTATCAAGTCCTGTTTATATGTGGACCATGTTTACCAGTGGATCTCTGGGCCTATGGTTGTAATGTGGTCCTCTCTACAACTCCTAAATGCCAGGTGATATAACAATAAATTACTCAGAAACCAAGATAAGAAATCTGAGTTAATAAAGTAACAGATAATTTATTCATTCCTCATCTACTGAACTCTTCACTGGTATGACACTTTGATATCCATTCTTTCAAATAAAAACATGTAAGTAAAAATATCAGCCCTCCTGGATATGAATAAAATAAGAAGTATACACTATAATGAAGATACGCACTTCTTCCAATACTTTTTTAAAATCTTTTGGCAGTCCATGGGGATATCCAGTACTCTTCTCAAACCACCTCAATATGACATAACAAACAGAGATAGTGAAAATGCTCAAAGAACTTCAAAGAGGAAAAAACGTGTTCTCATTGGGGAACTCAGAAATATTTCACGGAAGGTTGTAAAGAAATAATGCATGGGAAATAATTTTGGTTCAGCAGGAATAATAATAAATAGTGGAATATGTTTTTTAATACTTTTAATAAACTTTTTCTTTTTAATAATTTTTATATACAGAAAAGTTGAAAAGACAGTGAAAAGTTGCTATATACCTCCTACCCAGTTTTAGTTTCCCCTAATAATACACTGAATTTTCATGCATGTTTCATAGTTAAGAAATTAATGTTAGGGTATTGCTAATGACTAAATTTCACATTTATTAATACTTTATCAAGTTTTATATTAATACTCTTCCCCTGTCTCACAATTCAATCAAGAATACCATATTGCATAAAGCTATCATGTCTCCTTTGTCTCTTCTGATCGAACAGTTTCTGCTCGTTTTTTAAGTGGACCCAAAAATATACTTCTTTTTTTTTCTTTTATATTGGCTTGTATACAAAATTTATACACATTATGTTTCATTTACAGACTTTCTGTTTCACACATTCTTCTGTTCATATTGTGTTTCATACAATCATTCCCAGACATTGTGTTTTATAAAATTAAAAATTAATCACTATTAATCCATAGCCATCATTACCCATTATCCCACTTTTTCAATTCCCTCTTGGATCTTTCCTAATTCTTTCCCTCCCTCTCTCTGCCCAGTAATCTCTGGGATCTCATGATATTCCTCCCTCTCTACTCTGATTCCCTTTACTTCCCTTCCCTTTCCCCTTTGGACTTTTTGTGCCTATGTTAGTAATCCTATTTTTATAATAATGGTATTATACAATATTTGTCCTTATGAGACTGAATTTACTGAACATAACGCTCTCCAATATTTCCCATGTTAACAATATTTTTCAAAATCATTAATCCTGAGTGCTGTATAGTATTCCATCATATGAATGTACCACAATTTTTCAATCCATTCATTGGTTGATAGACATTTGGGCTGTTCCCATTTTCTTGCTATTGTGAATAATGCTGCTAGGAACACAGACATACAAATCTCCATTTGTGCCTCAATTTTATTTTCCTTGGGGTGTATTTCTAGCAGTGGAATAACTGGGTCATATGGAATTTCTAGATTCAGCTTTATGAGATAAGACCAAACTGCCTTCCAGAATGGTTGTACCATTTTACAATCCCACAAACAGTATATGAGAGTTCCAGTCTCTCTTCATTCTCTCCAATACTTATTACTTGCTGTCCTATAAAACTTTGCCACTGCTACTGGGGTGAGATGGTATCTCATTGTGGGTTTGATTTGCATCTCTTTTATTGCCTGTGATTTTGAGCATTTCTTCATTGGTCTGATGGCCATCCAGATGGTTTTCTCTGAGAAAAGTTTTGCTATGTCTTTTGCCCATTTTGTAATTATATTATCAGTCTTTTTCTTGTGAAAGTCTTGTAGTATTCTGTAAACTCTTGTTATGAGAACCTTGTCTGAGATCATTGCCAAATGTTTGTGTGGGTTTGTGTTCCAGCCGCACGCCCCCCCTCCCCCCCCCCGCAGTCAGTAGGTTTTCTTTACACCTTATTACACACAGGGACGTAATCTTTATGAAGTTCCATTAATTGATTTTGTCTTCTCCTAGTTATGCATTTCTGGCTGTATTTTATACCGTAGTGTGAGCCTTCTAAACTTGGTTCCATTTTGACTCTTATGATCTTTATTGTTTGAGACTTACCCACTAGGTCTCTGATCCAAGTTGAATTGATTTTTGGGTATGATGGATCCTGCTTTAGCTTTCTGCAGGTAGAAGTCCAGTTTTACCAATACAGTGATTTAAATAAAGGGAAATGTGACTTTCAAAGTTACAGCAAAGTTGTTTGTATAGAAAGGTTTTGGGAATGTTCTCTGACTCTATGCAATGTGTATTATTAGAAAACAGGTTTTAAAAAAAATATTAATAAGTTTAAGATTTTAAAAAAATCATAATCTAACACTTTTCCATCAGAGTTCATAGTGGGAAAGAAATTCAGATGAAGACTGTATTTCCCCATATTTACCAAAGAACTAAACTTGTAGGAGTTTTGTTTTGCTAATTTTTAGGAATTTAGATTATCAAAATTCACTGTCAATACTGAAATTCACAGGGAAGAACTAGCATGCTAAAAATTCAATAGGAATTGACAGACAAAATTCTTTCTTTTTCTGGGAAACCTCTATTTTGCTCTTTAAGTCTTCTAATTAAATGGGGACTCATCCACGTTACTGTGGGCAATCGCCTTTACTTACGTGAACTGACTGCAAATGGTTACCACCTCGACAAAATGCGTTTCCAGCAGCACTTACATTAGTGTATGCTTAAATAGCTGGTCTACCTAAGTTTACACAAGAAGCTAACCATCCAAAAGGAAAATAGAGACTATATTGTGAAAAATTTAAAATCTAGATTATCATACATGTATACAAAGTTGCTCTTTCCATAGTTCACAGGAATGAAACATTTTCTTATTCATTTTTTGAATGATAAATGTGTTCAGGATATTATTCTGTTCTTATCCCTGAATTATTTTCCATAAAAAAGTCAGAATTTAAAATATAATTTAACTTGAAAAAGAATTCATTTTCTTGTTAAAAGCTTGGAAAATAAAGAAAAGCATAATGGGGAAAAAACCAACATCATATTTTCATTTCCCATTAACAAGAGTTATGCTATATGGAAAGTTTTACTCAGTAGTGAAGGCAAGAGAGGTACACTCCCTTTCCAGACCACTAATCTCATTTCAGAAATGTTTTCTATGAAGAAAAATGGGAAATAAACTTAATATGCTGTCTACTCAATGATTTATAAAGTTGTTATAATAATGATTTATTTTTATTTCTTTATTTATTACGCTCTGTAACTGCTTTGGCACAAATAGAATTATTGAAACATTTTTGGTAATGAGGAACTAGAAAATGATGTGCAATGGTTTTGTTGTTATCTTTTCACATACTTTTTCCAGCAGCAAATGGCCATAAAGAGGTGGGCAATAACAGTGGTTGGCTCTCAGATCTGGTGAGAGTAGCAGCATGCAGGATGTTGTCATCAGAATTCCAGGCTTTGGGTAACTCTAGCAAACTTGATTGCTGAAAATCAGTGCTGACATCTCTGTGTCCATATGGATAAAGAAGTACATCTTATAAGCTAATATATTTTCATTTCAATAAATATCTTGAAAAAGCAATATTTTTGCCACCAAAGAAGAATTAATAAGAGGACCATTGCATAGCTGATCTTTTAAGAGTGAATCCTAAAGTTCTTGTATTAAAAAAATAGACATGATAGTTACTTCTAATACTGTTATATAATCTAATATATAGATAACATATCTCATTTCATATATTGGGAGTATTTTTCTGTCATTAACTCTGTTTAGATCATTTTACTTCATTGTTTACATAATATTGCATTTAATTTGTGAAATATATTTTATTTAATCAATGATCTACTCATGGAACTTTAGTATATTTCAAATAAAAATGTTTGTCTACTTAAATATTTGCAAATCAAAATAGATTTAATCTTTTCTGAATTTGGCAAATTTCCTTCCAGTAATGCTTTGTCAGTTTGCATGTTTCCATGACTTAGTGAGTAGGAAGCATCTCATTTCTGCATCTGCCAACCTTACGTGCAGGTATGACAGGTATGCCTTGCCTGGAAAGCTCCAAATCACATTTCCTTCATAGTCTCCATGTGCTAGATCCTGTTATGGACCTTGACTGTCAAATAATAAATGAGCAAATGTGTTAACAGAAAATTAAATAAACTACGCTCAGCCCTTAGATCGTTTTGACATCTGTACTGAGCTTGGAGAATTTGAGATGATATTTGCTAAAATAAAAATTACCAGTTTCATATTTCCTTGCCTTGGAACATATTAGTGTAATCACGTTCTGGTCTCCTGTTTACTCTGTACACTACAGCTAGTGACTTGTGGCTAGAAAGGGAATCATATTCCAGAAATCCTCTAATAACTTTTTCATTAATAGCCCATGCTTCCTTGAATTGTTTCATCTTTTCATCTCACTTTTTTATTTCTTTTGTCTCCAAACTAAAGCCCAGAGCATGTCCAGGAAGAATCATTTAGAAAGAAACTAAATCTGAAATTGTTTTTTCTAAATATTGAAATTACTGAAGCTGGGTCACCTCTTCTATTCATTACCAATTCTTTTATCACTCCAAAACATCTAATTCATGGAATCTGTTTTAAGTAAGATTAAAACAGACAATGTAGAACCAACCTGTAGCTTATATTTACAGCTCTGTCCTGTTGAAACCTAGCTTTCAGCTTCCACTTTGTCCTTTCTTCTCCTGGACAGTTGTTACGTGTTGTGAAGTAGACTACAATTCATAGTGACCCTATGAACAATGGCTCTGAATCTTGCCCTATCCTATGGCAAACTCACCATCTTTGACACACCTCACCCCTGAATTATTCCCAGTCTTTCAGTGATGTCAATGATATTCTACTCTTTAATTTAGGGACCAAAGTCTCCCCTGGGCTTTATAGAAGACATAGCCTCGAGCTTAAGAGCATTTTCCAAGGCTTAGCACCCTCTTAACCATCTCTTCTAGCTTTCTTGGGGTTAGCATCTTGGTCCTGGTACAAGTGCAGAGTACGACGTAGGGCTTTCTTTACCTCTTGGTTACGCAAGCAGTAAATGATAGGGTTGAGCACTGGAACAATGACAGCATAGAGCACAGAGACCAGTTTATTGGTGTCAAAAGTCGAGAGTGCCTTTGGCCGGGCATAGATGAAGATACTTGCGGCATAGAAGATGATCACAACAGTGAGGTGGGAGGCACAGGTAGAAAAGGCTTTGTGGCGTCCAGTAGCTGAAGGAATTCTCATGACAGCACCAGCGATAGCCATGTAGGAGGCCCCAGTGACAGAGAGTGGCCCCAACAGGATAAAAATGGCCAAAACAAAGTCTGTAAGCTCCGCTGTAGACATGTCGGTGCATGAGAGGTTAAGCAATGGGGAGACATCACAGAAAAAGTGGTTGATGATATTGGGACCACAGTAAGAGAGTTGAGAAATTAGAAAAACTTTCACCATGGAAATGCCAAAACCTCCAGCCCAGGAGCCAGCTGCCATCTGTACACACAACCGACCACTGACAATGACAGGGTAGTGAAGAGGATGGCAGATGGCCACATAGCGATCATAGGCCATCACAGCAAGAAGTACACATTCAGTGCAGCCCAAGCCCAGGAAAAAGTAGAGCTGTGTCATGCAGCCCTCAAAGGAGATTAACTGCCCATGACTCTGTTCAGACCCAACAAATCCAGCAAGCATCTTGGGAATTGTGACGGTGACATACCAGATCTCCAGGAAGGACATATTAGCCAGAAAGAAATACATGGGTTTGTGTAGGGTGGGGTGGCTCCTAATTGCTAAGATAATGAGTGCATTCTCAGTCAGTACCAAGACATAGGCCAGCAGAGAAAGGGCAAACAAGAGTGCCCGCAGTGGCACTGAAGCTGGGAAGCCCAGCAACACAAACTCACTCACCCTCCCACTCTGGTTCCTCTGCTCCATGGTGTTGGGCTTGTCTGCTGCTCTTCAGGAGATAAAAAAGAAAGCAAGGATGAAAGCCAGCAGTTAAATATTTCTTTTGGTTAGAGTTATCCATAGACTGCAATACTTTATAATCACTAAATTCAGGCCATTTCTCTCTTCTTAAACTGGGGGGCAGGGGGAGGAAAGTGGACCAAAAATAAATGGCTTTGTACTAGAGACAGATAGGAGTGTTTTGACTTTTTAGCAAGGCATGAATTGATGAAATAATAAACATGTTCGGTGTTCAAGAAGTTATTTAGATGTAGGGACTTACCTTCACCTTCAAATCCATGAGAGTTTAAGGTAGAATGCCTAGCCCTATACCGTTCAATGTTGTTGTAGCTATGTAGTATTGAGTGAGAACAGTACTATACACTAGTTTATATAAATGGAAACTTCAACCTACACTTGCCTTAGCCTTTATCATCCTTTTCAATACATACTTCACATGTTAGGCATTATGCTGTTGACATTTCTGGCCAAAGATCTTCTTCTTTTCTATCCTTTTTTCCATTTCCCCCCCTTTTTTATTTTTTTCTCCCTTTAGTTTTCATTCTCAGCACATTAAAGAGACTCTCATACATGGACTTCAAATTCATTTTCTCCTTGTACCTTTCCCTCGATAGTTCAAATCTAGCCATTTTTATCCTCCACTTAAAATCTAAAAAGGAATCTAGGTGTTGCTCAGTTGCCAACTGAAATATCTGTAGTTCAAATCTACCAGTTCTTTCATGAGAGAGGAATTTAGGAATCTGCTTCCAAAAGGGTTATATCCTTGAAAATCAGATAGGATACTTTTACTGTTTTAGGAGATCTTTATGAATCATAACTGACTCAATGGTAAAAGGTGCTTAAAATATCCAAAGTTCTACAGTAACAGTCAAGTTCCTTAAAATGAAGCATAACTGATACTTCACGATCTGCCAGTGTTATCATTAAAACCTCATCTCTTGCCAAGTGTCCATTGTATTTTATACCCTGAAATTCTCAGTACACAGCATGTGTATCACTTCTGTAGTTTTGTTTAAATTGCAACCTCTCTAGGTACAGTTAAATCCTACTTAGCTTTCGGTTTCATTTGGCTGGTGTGACATCTCCTTATGCACAGTTTTATCCTTTCCTTTCTCCTTCTCAAGTTTGATGATGTGTCTCTTGTTACTGTTACCTTTAGAGCAGTTGCAAGCCTATATATTATTCTGCTTGCTAGATCACTACCACAATTACTAGGTAGATATAAAGGATTAACTATCTGCCCTGTGATTCTAAAGGCATGAGGTATGAATTTACTGCTGCTTTATTGGAGGAAGATGCACAATCTCCTCCTGTGGAATTTACAACCTCTGAAAACCTGCTGGAGGGTCAACTGTGAGTCAGATTCCACTCTACAGTAGCACTGAATCTATTGGTTACTGCTATAATTGGGGAAATGTCTTTTATCTGCTCCTTTCTGTAATATGCTTGTCTGTCAGATATTATTCTAAATCTGAGCATTCAGATTAAGACAGACTAGGAAAAAGGATTGGCCATCAACTTCTAAAATAACAGGCCTTCAAAAACCCTATGTACAATAGAGCACAATTAGACTAGCAGACAGGGCAACTGTGGCTGAGATCTCAAAGATGGAAACACAAAGAAGTAGAAATGGTTTTAAGTAGACACTAGTGTCTAAGTGGAATGTAAGAAGCATGAACGTAGGAAAATTAGACATTGTTAAGAAAGAAATGGAATGCATAAATATTGACATACTAGGTACTGGTAAAATGACATGGCTCAGTATGGGACATTTTGAATCAGATAATCATATGATCTGCTAAGCCAGAGATGAAAAGGTGAGGGAAAGTAGGGTTGCTTTCATAATTAAAAAAGTTATTTTTAGATCACTCTTGAAATACAATGTTGTGACAGGATAATATCCATACGCATATAAGGTAATCCAGTGAATACCACTATCATTCAAATATATGCACCAACAACAAGAGCCAAAGAGGAGGAAATGGAAAATTTCGACCAACTTTTGCAGGCAGACATCAATCAACTATGCAATAAAAATGCATTAATAATAACAGTAATAATAATAATAAAATTTAACAGAGTTGTCATCATATAGAAGAAAGTTAGGTATTGAATGAATGAAAGTAGACCCATAAGGATAAGATACAAGATGAGAAAGTTCTATTTAAACTACAGTTTCAACTAAGATTAAACTATAGTTTAAAAAATATGGTTTTAGGGATTGAGGAACTTGCTATTGAACAAGAGATCTAATGAGAGAAGGTGAGGTGATGATAAAGAAAATATGGAAAGGATAAAACAGATATGTATGAATAAAGACACTAGATATAAGTGAAAATATAAATGAACATATAATAATCTAAAGGTCAATAGAACAGACAGAAGTTTTTTCTTAATTGGGTGTATATAGAATACGAAGATGGATGCATTAAATGGAAGTAGAGAGGATCTGGTATTTGGTTGATCATATTAAGAAAAGTGCAGAAGTAAATAGAATTCACCTACTTTATTTTGATGTCTTTGACTCAAGGCCAGGCTAGCTAGAAGAGGACTAAGGAAATGTGTGTTAAAAAAGTTGAAACATCAAGGCAAAAATGCTACAATTCTACCTTTTCTTTCTTCTGTGGTTTTAGCATTCTGTCAAACTAGGAAAGATTCCTTTATCTTATACTTCCCTCTTTTAGTTCTCTATTCACCCTCCTTCTTCAGATCCTTTGGGACAACTCTGAAACAAGAACCCAAGAGACCAACAACAGCCCAAACCAAGATATGATGTTGGTGTGTGGTATTAAGCAGATTCTGGCTTAAAGCAACTCTATGGTAGAGTAAAATTTCCCTGCTGGATTTCCAGTTTCAAGATAGAATGGCACATACTGACATATTGTAAGAAATAAAGTCAAGGTTACATATTGTTGTTTGTTATTGGGTACCCTCAAGTTGGTCCAACAGAACAAAATTCTGTTCTAAGATCTTCACAAACTCTGCTGTGTTCTACCCCATTGTGGCAGTCACAGCACTAGTGCATCTCATTGAGGGTCTCCATTTTTCCAAACCTAATGTACTTTTCCAAGGACTAGTCTCTCCTGACAACATGCTCAAAGTGTATGAGATTAACTTGCACCATCATTACTTCTAAAAACACTTGACCTGTACTTCTTCCAAGACAGATTTGTTCATTCTTTGTTTATCCATGATATATTCAACATTTTTCACCAGTACCACACAATTCAAAGACATAAATTCTTAAATCAGAATCACCTTAGTCTTTAAGCTGACACCACTACTCTTTGGTACTTTGGAGAGGTCCCAGCATACTTTCCAGTGCAACATGTCTTTCGATTTCTTGACTGTTGGCACTGATGGTGTTAATTGTGGATCCAAGCAAGATGAAATCATTGAAAACTTGAATCTTTTTTCATCTATCATGATGTTGCCTATTGAGTGCTTAGGATTTTTGTTTTCTTGATGTTGAGATGTCATCGATAATACAGGTTAATGTCTTTGATTTTCTTCAACAAGTGTTCCAAGTCTTCCTCACTTCCAGGAAATAAGATTGTGTCATCTGCAAACAAAAATTGTTGATGAGTTGTCCTTTAATCCTGATACTGTATTTTCATTAAGTACAGCTTCTAGTACAGCATACAGATTGAACAGGTATGGAGAGAGAATACAGCCCTAATGCATGCATTTATTCATTTTATTTTTAAATAATATATGTTGAACATTTTTCCCCTTCCCCCCGCCCAAGCCCAGCCTACAATGTACATGTTTCTTCATTTTAAACTAACCAGTATTCCTTTGTTCTGTTCAGATAACAGCTTCGTAGTCTAGGTATAAATTTCTTATAAACACAATTAAGAATTCTGGAATCCCATCTCTTCATAGAAATCACTAAACTGTCTACAGAAAAGGAGAGGAATACTCCATTAATTCAATAGATAATAAAAGAAAGAACATTAAAAATAAACCCAATCATATTAAAAATTGAAAGTAGACTAAATGGTTCCTAACTCAAAAGGCAGAGATTGTAATATTGAATTAAAAGTCAAGGACCAAATACAAATTGACAACATGAGAAGCTTGGAGTAACATCTGACTAACAGTGATCCTTAATAGGGTTTCTGAGGCTGAAAATCTTCATGGAAGTACACTGCTTCATCCTTCTCCTGAGTTACATATCAGCAGCCTGTCAGCAACCCAATAGATGACTCATATGCCACCAAGACTCCTTTAATAAAAAGCACAGTAAATAAATAGTCTTCTACCTGACAATCTGTCCACTGTAAGGACTTTTGGATTGCCGTGATACCAGAAGTGTATTGCTGTGATACCAGTAGCTTTTCAAATACTAGCAGCCAGCAATAGTGGTGTCTACAGACTAAGACATACTGTAAAGAAAGGACTGAAAAGCTATTTCTAAAAGTTAGAAAATGGAAACTTTATGGGTCACAACTGAACATTGTATGTCTCTCTTGTTTTGGACATCTTCCCATGAGGGGTCTCTTGCTAGAAAAGCACAACAAAGGCAAAGGAGACCCTCTGTGAAATGAACAGGCAGACTAGTAACAACAGCAGGTTACAATATGTGGCTAAATGGGAAGGCGACACAGGACTGGCCAATACTTTGTTGTCGTACGTAAGGTCTCTATGAATTAGAGTCATTATAAAGATAACTAACAATAGCAACAAGAAATATTATAAACAAATTTATGCTACTAAAAAATGGACAAATTCTGAAAGACAAATTACGTTTTCAAAATACACAAACCTACCAATAAAAACAGTTAAGTGGCACAGTGTGCAGCAGTTTTGCCCTGCTAACAAAAAGGTTGTGCATTTATGGCAATCTAATGCTTCCAACGTCTCCGTGGAAGAAAAATAGACAGTCTTCTCCATTAGTACTTACAGCCTTGGAAGTTCAAAGGAGTGTTGCTATGAATCAGAATTGACTTGTTAACAGTAAGTTT